ACAGTCGCCGTAAAAATATTCCACTGATTTTCATCGGAGGCTTTCCACGCAGCGGCACAACGTTGATGAGGGTGATGCTGGACGCCCACCCCCTTATCCGGTAAGATTTGCAACTGTAATTTTTTCTCTCACACAATTAAAGCTCTTACCCCAGAAAAAAAGATCTTCAGACGCGTTTAAATATCCGAGAAGAGATACTGAAAGAGAGGGAGAATAAACTCTTAATCTCGCAACTGTGGTTTTGAACGCAACGGTATTTCGATCGAACACGACTATGACTTTTATATTCTCCAGTGTTTCAGTTTACAACAATGGTCTTCTTTTGGGTAAATAAATAGTGATTTTACACCAACAGATTACACAGAGTATAAAATATTAACACGCATGTTCAGTCAGACCATTAATACTTCCAGTGCGTTCGATATATCATACGAATTGTTGCAGTCATTGCCTATAAAGATGTTATTCATTGCTGCAGTGATTCGTGGATACCGCGTTTGGTCTTTTGATGGTCAGTTACATGAATACTGCTATGAAGCAGTTAATGGTTAATCAGTTCTAGTTGTCCTGGTGACCTAAGCTTTATTTAACAAAGTTACAAAATAAAAAACAAATTTCATTCGACTAATTAAGTTCTAAATTAAGAACTCAAAAGAAAATCCAAAGCTGATTCTGAATAACGGTCAGCATCAAAGCAGTACTACAAATAAAGCTAAAGAAGACCCAGGTCATGTTTAACAAATACATGACCGCGCAACCTGTTCAAGTCATAGGCTTGAAGAAATGCGCAACCATGTCTTTTTGGGACAGCTTTTCTCTGCAACGGAGCATTGACTTTGAAATCAACAGAAGAACAAAATATGGCATAGAGCACTTCTGGAAGACTAAAAATAAAATTTTTCCTATCCGAGAAACTGCTCTTTCTCTGCTCTTGTGCCTTAAATGGAAAGTTTTTATCAGTATGTGTTCTTGGTGCTAACCTATGAGTAGCAATCCTGGACTCTGAGCCTGAAAGCCATTCATAAACTGCAGACTACGCAGGACAGCATGGAAAGATCCCCACTTGGGAATAACAAAAAGATTATAGAAAGATGAACGAATGGGTCGAGTGGCCGAGGAGTCGGCTATGTTGTTGGCCAAGTGAAGAAGTTGAATTGACAATGGGCACGACACGCTACAGTAAGAACAGACCACTGCCAGACACGGCACTCATCAGATTGGGTTTAAAGACAGAGAGTAAAGGGCCCATGCCAAGACCCGAGAATCGATAACAGCATGAGCTGAATTGGACCTAGATGGATACACATGACAGGGAACAATATTTTGTGGCAAAGTCTTCGAGAGGCCTTTATTCAGTAAAGGATCGACGAAGGCCGATGATGATGAATGGTATTCTATTTGGCAAAAAAGGTGCAGTGGCAAGGCGATTTTTTGTCACATATGTCAACGCGTTTTCCTTGTCATAATTGACTTCCCAAATAATGCGCTATGTGTGAAAACAGTGTATATTTTAGTACCTTCTCCACCTTGTATATTTATGAAGGTATTTAGCTGCTGTCAACTAGAGTTGTCCGGTGCTTGTAAAATTACTAACTGTTCGCTGATTTCTAGTGGCCGTGGTAGGACAAGATGTTCACTTGCTGACCTGAATTGGTTCGTTAATCTGATGCTAACAAATATGGGGCAGATGAAAACAGAATTGTACTTCAGCTAGGTAGTAGTTAATGTATCCTGATTTTTGGATTCGCGGTGTGTCCTAGTGACTATCGAGACAACTCAGGATCTTAGCTTCTATGCTGTATTGTCTTCATATGTGAATCTTTACCAGTTTCCTCAGCTATCTACTACACGTTTGTCAGTGACATCCGCCTGTCAGACTTCTAATTACGGAACAAAGCGTAATTGGTCGGTCCATGTTCCTTCTCTTTCGTTGATACGCAGTTATTCTGGCATTCATAAATATCCGAGTTAAGGAGATAGGGTACATTATAGGTGTTTAGACTGTTTTCTGTTAGTTGCTTAGAAGTCTGTTGCTTTCATTGCATGTGCTGTTAAGTAAAGATGCGGCGAGGAGACCCGAGTCATCCCGAGGATACTGGGACTGCGCACACAGTGGCAGAAGAACCAGCGAGAATGGAA